TGTGCAACCTTAAAAGAACTGATGTCCCTTCTGAGATTCTAACCCGCGTCACCGGGTGAGTGCTGCAGTCACAGACGTTACCGCTGAACTATTCGGGCTCGCGATTTACCTCCTGTAGGACTTTAGTAGGTATTTTGATTGAACACTGGAAACTAGTGCGACGTCTCTAGTTCTTTCTTTGGTCCAGACTGAATTCTATCAGTCAGGTTTGCAATGTGGCCACCATTCTAGGTAGCTCGTCATCACGGTGCACATTGATTTGATGATATTAGATGGTTGGACTGACTGATAGAATTCAGTCTGCACCAATAAAGGACTAGACGCATAACACTAGTTATTAGTGTCCAATCAGAAGGTGATGTTATTTTACTGGGTGAGATTTCTAGCCTCCAGCTCAAACTGTGCCCTTATCTGGGCTTAAGAGTATCATCGAAACACTGACATATTAACTGAATTCCTTGGTTTGCGCAGTAGAATATTCGCTTTCTTTGCAACTAAAACAAACTTGTCTACATAAAATGCTTTTCATATCACTGTCACTCATGAATCAAGAGTAAAATAAGAGAAGGTAAATCGCCTGATTCGATACCCTATAAAACGTATTTGTTGCTGGTTTTGCAGAGTCATTTATTAACAAATAATCAACGTGTTTCATTATATGATAGAGTTTGTTAGATGCTTCTTGGGCAAAGGTCACATTCAGTAAGCTAAGGGACTTACTTTTTTTTAACTTTTGATTATAGCTTGATTTCACACCGTATTTTTGATACAAGTATGGCATTTTCAGCATGTGATATCGGTAGGCCAAATTTCGCAAGCTGATCATTGATATCAGGTATGCGCCGGGCAGGGATTGAATCCCGGACCATGTGCATGGTCGGTGAGCGTCCTAACCACTATGCTACCGATGCACTATATGGCAAATTTATATACATGTCTATAACAGTCATAAGTATCTAATAATTACGTGTGAACAAATCACTTCATCATCAAAACGGTCTCAAAGAAACACCTTAATATGTATATACTAATAAATTAAACTCGTAGTGTTTATTAAGAGCTAAGCTAATTTGACTAAAAGATTATCTATGAATAGATTTATGTGATCTACAGTATGTTTCTTTACTGGAAGTATGGACATTAGACCGTGATAAGATCCAAATTAAATAGTGTATGGTGGTAATAACGCAACGCCATTATAACTTCAGATTAACAAATTGCAAAAAATTCATACTCTGAAGATTATTTCACCCCTGTTATTCCTACATTCATTACTGTGGACAGAACATAAGTGCTTTAAATAGATTAGAAACACATTAAACCAATAAACAATTGTCCCTTTGATAAAATGCCTAAGGTGATATATTTTGTTTTCAAACAGACAAAAGAAAATTAGAACTTATAGGCATTTGAAAACATTCACTTTTTTTCACTTTATCAATAATTACATCTTCAAACTCCCTACATACATAATGTTTCCTAAATTAAATGACATCAAAAATATTTTAGAAAGAAAAACTCGATGGGCTGTGCGTAATTTAGCACGCCTGAAAATTTTAATTCTGTCATTCTGTACGAAACTATCATCGTGAAAATTTGCAATTGTAAGTCTTTGTATAGGTAATACAATAGAAACACATAGAGTTCTTCTTGTACAAGGATATTCTATCATTTTCACTCTGATCTTCAAGTCTGAAGTATGAAGTTTCAGAGGTAGTGGTGTTGTTTTTTCCAAATGAAGTTTCCAGCTTCACGCCAATACTTTTCTCTTTACCAGACTTACTGGCAGCTAAGCAAGGCTGAGGGGTGGGTTGGCAAGGAATTGAACTCTGGACAAAGTGCGTGGTTGACAAGCATTTTAATGCTGAACTCCCGACATGTTTGGCTGTTCTTAAACCACTTCAATGTAGATTTCATTGTGGGTTAACATCAATCCAAGTGAATGTTTATAGAACTTCGAATGCGCCAAATCACTGGATGTGGACCTCTGCACCTAATAGCCTGAGATTGGACAGAATAACATCCGTGACATGATTGTTTGAATTTCCAGTCTGCTATTACTATTTTCTCTGTGATTTTATTAATACTTATTTGGGAATATTGCATCTTCCATAGATGTCTTCTACATAATAATAAGTACATTATTTCGGCCTCCGTTTCTAGTCTTCCAATTATCACCCATCTTCGGTTTCGCCTCAAATTGGATAATATATTTTCTAGAATGCAGTCACCAGTATCTGGTTTGGCTTTATGAATTTTTTGTTGCGTAGTAATAAGTGTGTACAGTTCTTCAATTATAATTACTGATAACCATAAATCACTGGAGTGTTATAACTTTATTTAAAGACTCTTCAATAGGCTGACGAGAGAAAAAACGGAAAACGTAGCAAAGACAACTTTCCAGCAATTTCATCCTCCAAAGTTAAACAATCAGTTTTTCTGAACATAAGTTCGTATACGTACGACAATACTTACGAATAGGGATTGTAACAACGGAGGAGTATGTAGAGGAAATGCGATTGTAAATCATTTTAGGATCAAATCGCCTAGGAGACAACTTTGTTGACCTTCTTGTTTTTTTCTGTCTCTAAGATCCCGATGGGTATTTTTCACGATTGCTCAGTGGTACACACTCATCAGCACCTCGTCATGTATCGAGCATGGGACCTACAGAGCGTAATCACCATTAAAGCGCCCAGCTGATTGCAGACGACAATCCATTTCGCTCTAGTATTTAGTCTGAGGACAAGGGAATATTTCTTCCACATATACATACGCAATTATTTTACCAAGCTTCAAAGTTTTAAATGTCTTTAAACGCTCTGAGGAAAAATGGCTTTCGGTGTCCATCACATTTATAATTTAAATAAAATACGAACTTCAAAGGCTCATTGGCAAGTGGCATATACTACTAAATTAAACAAGAATTATGGTGGTTTATATTTCAGTAATGAAAATCAAAACTTCTCTCATGTCTTATTTAAATCAGGTATGCTATTTGAAGTTAATTTAGAACAATTAAGAAAAGCTGGTGTGACACAGTATTCATGTCATTCTGAGGTAGATAGAAGATCTCTTTAGGATATGAATCATGGGAAAACGTTGAAGCTTGAAAAAATCTGGATCAATAGCGGCTACCTTGCTGTCAAGGCGAGCTAGCATGTAGGAGTAACAAAACGAGCAGCACTGGCTAGAACAAGTGTTTTCTCAGGCTCTTTCGTGCTAGAAAAGTTGTTTGAATAACGGTCATATTAATAGCGGTTATCGTCAGTGTAACCGTTTACACTATATTTATGGAAGATGTTTCATTGGCGAATAATAAAAATATTACAGCGATGAGGTGTTTGTCTGAGATGAACAGCATACCAGACAAGCTACCTCCTTATCCTATAAAGAAGGAAATTACAAAATTTCGCCCACGAAAATTGTACACGCTGTCTCAGCCTGCGGCTCTGACTACAGAGCAATAAGACCTTAATACGTTCACTTCTGGACAAGACACCACAAGCTGGATATATGTAGCCAACCAAAGGCAGTTATCCTATGGGCTTTGCAATCACACAGCACTAATGCAGTTTCTCTTTCAGGTATCCGAAGAAAAAAGAGACTTCTACGGTGTGGGCAGCTAAGAAGTACCATCCACCCAGACAGGCATAAAACCACAAGGTACTTCTAGACCGAGAAGATATATGAAGCTTTGAATTACGAATAAGCTACCTAGTCTGTATAACCAACCAAATCCCTACAAACCAACACTTAATTATCGATGAAATGCTCACTAGCGACTGGCCCTATTCAGGTAGGTAGTTACCTGGGATTATAGTGAGAGGTCGTGACCAGTAGGCTGCAGCAGGTTGAGTGTGATGACAAAAACTTGTCGAAGTCCACTTGTCGAAGTGGATTAATGGTCTACGAGTTTTCTTGTAACCAGAGGGTCCTGGGTTCGACCCCCGTGAGTGGGTGGGTACTGCTGAAGAGTCCCAAACTACGACGAAAAGCAGGCTGTCCAGTACTCCCAGGTTTTCGAGTGATTCTCTAACTGATGTCAGCTCATGATGAAATCCTGCAACTAATCAATCAAATCCCAACAAACCAACACCTAAATAGCTAACTATTGTTGCACTTGGTTCAGTTTTATCAAACAGTATCAACAGAAGTATGCAGCAGATATCAGAAGTTAGCAATAATGAAGTACATACTATTATGGTTAAGTTTTTATTCATATCCCATCATCACTTCACTTGTAACAAAATGTGTTCGTCCAGTTTAAGAATCCACAAATAGTTTTATATTCACGACTGATTTAGTACTGTCAGAACCCACTTGGTTTTCCATTGTGTTGAGGATAAACTAAAAAGGATTTACATAACCATCGCTAGTATGACGATGACATAAAATCTAATAACTGGTTAAGTTTAAAATTGGCGCTACTAAATCACTGTGTCCTCGTTCTAACCTAAGCTTTCTAGGAGGCTGCAGTGACATGAATTTCACCTTCAGCTGCAAACATCATCTCAGATGAAGGTTAGTCAACTCAAATAAGATTACTAAAGCACATATTTTTTTTTCTTTCCTTCACGTTCCCAGTGGAACATAGGGCTTCAAGCTAGTGGCCTGAAGTTTCTGTAGCAGTGTTTATTTTACAGGATGGGGTTGATAGCCTCATGCCCAACTTTTCCTCTTTACCAGCATTACTTCTGGTTAAGCGAGGTGAAGGAGTGCGTCGGTGGCCGGAGATCGAAACCCCAGACCATGTGCATGGTCAGCAAGCGTCTTGACTGCTGTGCCACCGACGAACAAAACACATGTCTTAAACTTTTAAATTACATAGTATCTAAATGACTACACTAAAATTGCCATGTTGCTAGTATTCTTTAAATTCCATTTCACTAACACAAAATGATTCTGTATTCTGTATACAAACTGATCGTTGAAAAGATGTTTTATTCGTCCAAAGAAAAACAAAAACAAACAACTAAAACACGATTATCTTGACTTACATGAAATGCAAGAGGTTCCCGGAGACGAATATCACAAATTATGGATTTCAGTAAAGGTTAATTTCTTAACAAGAGTTAATTAACTGTAAAAATGTATTCTTCTTCCTTATACAACCTCTGTGCTGATTTATAATTTCAAATTATCGTTACATAGAATATGCATAAGATAGGGAATTTTTCTGATTGGTTGGAATGCTGACCAATCAGAGGATAGTCTGCTTGGAGATATATCTTACATATATTTTCTTGTTTAAATTGTTTAAATAACACAATTATCTAAACACTTTAATACAACAAAATGTGTAAAATATTGTAGGGGAGGTGTTTAAAGTTCACCGTAACTCTCTGTGTCTACTACGACTATGTGGAAATAGTGATTAGATCTGTAAAATTCAGTGCAGAAAGGAACTTCACATCTAGTCATCGGAGAATCACCGACTTCGATGGCTTTGTGTACACAAATATCAGATGACTTCGTGTTTTTGTCAAAAATAACTTCTGTTATCGACATATTGCCTCCTGAAGGTTTGATATCTAAATTACCTTGATAAGGTAATTACTTGAGCATTAGGGTTTTAGAATAGATCACTTAGTTTTTCAATTTTCACGTTGAGCGTTTCACTTTGATTTTCAAACAAGGTCTCCGAGGGGGAAGTTGGTACCATAATTCCCAGTCATCCTTGCGCTTCACCTCCCCCCTTCCAGAGCCAGTATCCCTGTTGAGCGACCAACATCATAGTTACGCTTAAGCATGAAAATGAGGACTTCATGCCAGGCACTGCATTAACGCTCCCGCAGCAGTAGGTGTTTTGCCAACCCCCAACTGTCCGGTCTCAACCAAACCATGGACGCTTCGCAGATGGTACATTACTGCCCCATCTCAGCGGGTCATGGCCACTCACATGATCTGGTCACACAGTTGCACATCCAACTTGCAAGTAGCATACAACCATCATCCTGGAATCAGGGACAATTCTTTAATTCTCTAGGTATCTAGGCCAGCAAGAGAACCTCAGATGCTGACGATCCTCTCCCGGTGGCTCCCCTCCACTGACCAAGACAAGCATGAGTAGGACAATAACATTCTCTTTGTAGGCTCCTTCCTCATACTCACCTCAGCCCATGAATACATTCCACATCCCAAACCACCAGAAGTTCGACAAGCTTCCTGCATAGAAAAAGTAATAATATAATATATATTTATTCCTATCTGTGAAGGACACACCAGTTGTACAGGCATGGATAAGTAGTCATATACTTCCTCTCGGAGCGATTGTACAAAATTATTATTCTGGTATAAGAGACTGGGTCCTCGGACCGCTGGCGGATACTCCACAGCTGCTCTGCTCCCACTGAATCGTGGGTAAAACCCTGACGCTTGCGCGCCCAAGCAACTGGAAGTCGCGCCACCCACTGCGCTTTATGACCCCACTGGACGGTTTTAAAGACACAAAACTAGCCATGGATCACAAATTTCATTCAAAATTTGAGACCCACGACCAACTGCAGTCCGACTAAGCCTTAAAGGCCACCATCCTGAGCAAACTAGTCTCGGACATAATCCCCTCACAGGTCGTCTGAAGGTTCGAATCAAGCTGCCCAGTAGACACAGAGATACGGGACTCTCACCAACATCCTTCTCGCCAGGTTTTCATGACCAGGCTACTGATTGCAGTCAATACCACAGTGCCTCCCAAGATGCCTTAGCATCAAAGAGGATTACAACCAGAACATTGCCGCGTACGGTGGTCCCAATGGCGAGAAATAGTTCATTCTTGTCCTGACAGGGAAGCTGGAAACAACCCTCCACGCGGGAACCAAGCGGAGGTATCAGTCAGCGCAACCATGGCCTTAAGACACTGCCTTAAGACAGTCATAGTTTGGATATACTCAATGGGAAACTAGAATTCAATTGCTTAATAATTGTCATTCTGATTTATAAGAGCGGTCGATATTCTTCAGAAAATTTAAGTTTCCATTAGTCACTGAGTCAGTGGTAAAAATAGCTGTATACTTCATAATGAATGTCTGCATTAAGGTGACAGTAGATGCTTCACTGGCTAGTTTTTGAATTGGCTACAGGATTTCATTATGAGCTGACACTGGTTAGAGAAATACTGGAACACCTGTGAGTAGAGGACAGCTGTTTCGTCCCGGTTTGGGACTCTTCATCAGAATGCACCTACTCACAAGGTTCAAACACAGGACCTTCTGGTTGCAAAGCAAGCTCGTAAACCATTAAGCCACTAAGACACGATCCATAGGGCCCATGAAATCTAACTTCTGCCAATTCCCGACATAGCCCGACTCCTAGCCAATGTCTTCGGCAAGTATTTGTCCTCACACTCGACCTTCTGCACCCTACTGGTCACTACTTCCCACTAGAACTTAGGTAACTAGCTACCTGAATAGGGCTAGTCGCCAGTGAGCATCTCATCGATATTCAAGTATCGGTTTGTAGGGATTTAATTGATTGGTTCCAGGATTTCATCATGAGCTGACTTTGGTTAGAGAACCATTGAAAATTTCGAATTCTCCAACTTTATGGACACTGGAATATATTAACTCAAATGGAATTTTATATGAATTACGCAGTTTAATTAAAATTGAAATAATAAAAAAATAATTAAAGTTAGCCTTACTGTTCCAATCGAATGTTATTAAGTAACAGCGTAATGTGTCATAAAAGTGAAGACAGATCCCGCTATCTATTGCAAAAACCAAGGCAGTAGTATGTACTTAGTTGACCTTGTTATCATATGTCATACCGGATCAAACATCCAGAAAACCTTAGACACCTTTTGTCAGTTTCGTCTGGTAAGCACTGGTATTTTACCAGAATGACAGGACTACTTTTGCTTTCAATTTCGTTGCATTGGAGCATTTGTGATATTTCGAAAGGAAAACTACTGTGACGTTTGAACATTATTCAATAATTTTGTTTGAGAAACATCATGAATTTTCAATGTACAGACTAGCACGAAAGCAATATTTACAAGACCATTACTCCAATTTGTAACTGTGGAGCCAAATAATTTATAATAAAATACTGCAATAAAAACTATTTCTAGTTTATTGAAAAAAACTGAAAAATGACAAATTCAATTATTATTTATTATTATTTCCTTTAATTCCATGGCCACGCGCCATGCGTTCGGTTCCCTGCTAGAGTTTTCACATGGTTTTAAGTCTGTCCACATGTTTTCATCTACTCTTCACATGACCTCCTCCAAGTCACCCTTGAACTGATGACCAACTCGCCGCTTCCCTTTCGGGTTCCACTCGGGCAATGGCTTGTCTAGTGATGTCACTTGATGGTATCCTCAGAGTATGGCCAATCCACCTCCAGTTCTTCCCGCTTATTTATTGCACAATCGGTTCCTGCTCGGTTGGTTTGCTCCCAGAGATCCCTATTGTTGATCTTTTCTGGCCATCTAATCTTGAGCGAAGTAGTGAGCGAAGTCACCTGTTGATGAAGGTCAGTAGTTTGTTTGAGGTGCTTTTTATGACGTGCCAAGTCTCTGATCCATGTAGTAGCACTGACTTCCAATTGGCGTTGAAAATCCGGATCTTATTATCATTGTAATGATGAGTGATGTTGACCTCCACACAGACTTGAGAGTAACGAAAGCTTGTCTTGCTTTCCCGATCCTTGCTTTGATATCCTCGTCAGTTCCGTTCGCCTGTGGTTGAAACGGTGCTTCTCGGGTAGGTAGGTGAAGGAGGTTGTTTCTTTCAGGTCCCTCCCATTTATGCCTGCTGATTGTTGTCTGTTGTTGTTGTTGCTGTTGGTGGTATTGGCCAGGAATCTCTGTTTTATCTACGTTCACCTGAAGTCCTGGCTTCGTTGGATGCTTCTTCTGCCGACTTGTTGCTTTTCATTTGCATATCTTCCAGTTTGTTGGAAATCAGACATATATCATCGGCGAAGTCCAGATCCTGCAAGGTTTTGTGTGAAAAATAAAAATTTTAATTACAAAAGTTCATAATTTGAGGTGGTCACTCTTTGAAAGTTGTCTTCTAGTATCCATCTGATATCAGAGTTGCAACATGTTCATTGTATGGGTTAGGTGTTGACTCGCTGAACAAAGATTCAGTATCAACTTCTTCCTCAATCGGCCCATTTTAAATTTTAGAACAAAAGCTCTGTCCCACCGTAGTCTAACGTAGTTATTGTGTTCATACTGCAGCGAAAACATATTACATTTACAGACGGAACAGAGGCTAATTTTCAAAACTTAAACCGTTTAGTTAAAGGTTTTTTAAGAGGTAATACATTAACAACGTTGCACGACATCAAACTATTAAGTTTATCTAATTTTTGCATGGTAGAATGGAAGCGAAGCATGTAAATAACCGGAATGGGTTACCTGAGGCTCTAGTGAGAAGTGGTCTCCACCAAATCCACTGTAAGGGCAGATAATGGCTAATGATATTGCCTGGCAGGGATGCGAAACGTCGCAAATAATCAGCATTTCAAATTTACGAGCCATTGAATCTCGTTCTAGTGACTAAATAGATTAATAAGCTCTCTTTGTAACATGAAGATCTTTATCTAAACACCTAGATGGGAAATTTGTGCATACTATTTAACAGTATCAAGCCAGGATGAAAAAAAGGGATCTAATACTCTTTGGTTTTAATTGATTTGCTAACTGATATCAATTTGCGCTCAAATTTGAAATGAATCGCATTGCTGCAAACCAACAATTGAAAATAAAAGAAAGTAGACAGATAATAATTAGTAACACACAAGATATTTCATAGACTTCACTAATAACACCACAATGTCAAAGTCTCTTCCAAAACCTACTGAAAAAATCAATTCACAAATACCTGTAGGTAATAGTTTCATCCAATAATTAGTGTTGAAGGAAACATGTTTCAGAATTTATTGCCGTATTTCACTTTCCACTGTTTGCACAGAATGCATATGAGGAGATGTTTACGACTTAGCTTACAGTAGTGTCCTAAATCATGCGTTCATAAGCTTTCAGGCAAAGTGTTTATCGGAAGAATTAAAACCAAAAATATCTTGAGTAAGTGAGTCGCGCTCCTTACTGAATACTACTGTGTTACGTAACACACCGTCGATTTCCGTGTATTGCTTTTTTTAAGATTTGATTAGTCTGAAGTCACATAACAGATTGGTACCATTTAGGGGACCACTGTGATTCCGTGAATGCAGTGAATTCTGTA